CACTCAGGCATTGAGTTAAGTCTCAGCGTTAAATCTTTCACTCCTCAAACGCAGCTCCTTCTTTTTCCTCTCACATGCCAACCCCCGTCAGAGGTTTAATGGTGGTCTGAGGGATTAGTTTCATCGTCAAAGCTTCTGTTTGTTCTGAAATGGGTGTTTTTTTTACCATCTAGTAATTACAAACTATAGGACACGCATGTTTTTTTAACTCCCTCATCTGTTTTTCTTCTCTTCCTTGCACGTTCTTAATGTCCTGTAGCTGTTGTGTCTCTTGTCTTTGTCTTTGATTTTACAGCTTGAACAAAATAGTGGGAAAAAATAATAATTTATTGAAACTGATGCTGATATAAATTCTCTCCTGCAGTGTTCAGAGAGCAGCCTTGGCCATCATAGAACACTATTACTGCGACTTCCCCGTCCACAACCCGGCCCTGCTCTCTGCCTCCAAATCCCGTGCTGCCAAACACCTGGCCGGTCTCAAGGTCTACAACGTGGATGGTGAGTTCCCAGCAGCCTCTGCTGAGGGTGAGTGGGACGGTCCTCTGACCTTATGTTGTTTTTGTTTACCTAAAATTATTTTGTTAAAATATCATCAATATCATTCATAATCAAAAACACTTTTTAGCATTTTTTGGTTGTTGTTTCCACTGCAGTCGACTCTCTTCACTCCTCTTCTTCTGGTTCCTTTCTGTTATTACTTTTCCACCTCTTCCTCTTTTGACTTTTTTTTCTTTCTCCCTTCATTTTCTCTCTCCTTGTCCTTATTCCTTATCTCCTCTTCCCCTCGTTTTGCTTTCTTACTTGTTTCCTTTCCTCCTTCTTCTTTTCTCACCACTCCTCCCTCGCTAATCTCGCCCTACGTCGCCCGCCTTCTTTTTTATCTCTGTCTTTTTCTCTGATTCTTACCCTCACTCCTTCTCCTCCTCCATTGACACTCTCCTGTCTTTTCTTTAATTAAAAATAACTGAGCTTCACTTTCGCTGCTCACGTCCAAATGTTTCCAGGTGTTTTTTGTTTTTTTTCACCACACAACCTGTTTGGTTTCTGTATTATCTTCTCTGTTCCTGATGTTAGAGATAACAAATGATTCCCAGCAGATAAAATGTCTTTTTTTTCAGGTAATAAAAAACAAACTACCATCAAGAAACAGCAGCTAACAAACCAGTGTAACTGCTCTTTTATTTAATAATGACGTCCCCTCTGGCTTCCATTGTAACATTCTTCACCTATGAATCCCATGTAACCGCACTGTGAAAATTCCCATTTCTCTCCTCATGAATAATTCTGCTTTTCATCCCCGATCTCTGACCTTCATTAATAATTTACCAGCTGGGCTTCTTTTAACCTGCAACAACATCAAAGAAACAAAACTTTAAATTCCGTGGAGTGGATCCCAGATTTCCTCAAGGCACAGAACAACAAAAATTGAATGTTAAATAAGTGGGAATACTCCAGTATTCCCACATTTCCGCTGTGTCTGGAGCGTTTCAGAATTCTTTTATACACTACACCAGACTGAGGGTCAGGTTCCCCTGACCTCACTGTTGTACATCTTATCTGTAGTTCACGTATTTTAAAGAGTTCTTTTGTTCTTGAAGGCCAACCGTGTCTGAGTAGGTTTGCATCTCTCAACCCTTACGGTTGTGGGTTTGATTCTGGACTACTTGGGTGATTTGTAGACTAGATGGATGAGAAAACTCCATAAAACTGATTCCAGCCCAATTCCCGCCTCCTCCCAGGGCCAGGTAATAACGCAGCAGCAGGTCTGGCTCACTCCCAGTCCAGAGCCATGATCGCCGCAGCCGCTCGACGCAGAGACTCCAGCCACAACGAGCTGTACTACGAGGAGGCTGAGCACGAAAGACGCGTGCGGAAACGCAGAGCGCGGTGAGTGAAGCCGCAGACATGGAATTCCTCCTGAATAATAGACATAATAATAATCACGTGTTTTATTCCGATCCAAACACCACCGTGTTCATGTTGACTGTGTCTGTGCAGCTGCATCAGGGTCTCATTCATTAGGTTCCTGGTTCCTTTGACAGAAAGACACTGTTTTAAGTTCCTGCTCCTAGTTCTTCTTGTCCCCTGCGTACCCAATAATTCCACTGTTCATCCACTTATCATTGCTGTAATACACACACATTTCTGTATATTTTCATCAGAATATATAGAAAAAATCATATTCTTCTAATATTTAGGAATGTTGATTTATCTGTTTATGAATTGACGGCTAAAGGCAGTGCTAATTTAAACACCATCCTCTGGTTTCTGCCCGTTTCTTGATCCAGACTGGTGGTGGCAGTAGAGGAGGCCTTCACACATATCAAGCGAATGCAGGAGGAGGAGCAGAAGAAGGCTCCAGGAGACGTGATGGACCCGCGGGAGGCGGCGCAGGCCATTTTTCCCTCCATGGCTCGGGCCCTGCAGAAGTACCTGAGGACCACCAAGCAGCAGCACTGCCACAGCATGGAAAGCATCCAGCAGCACCTGGCCTTCTGCATCACCAACAACATGACCCCCAAGGTCGGCTCACTGAACACTCACACTGAAGTGTGATGATGTCAGATGGTGTTTTTGTGTCTCTCTGAGGAGACATTCATGAAAACGTGCTTTAGTTTTCCTTTTTCTTTCCTTCTTACATTTTACACATTTCAGGAAATACTGCACATCTCCTCTTGTCCTCCTTCTCCGTGCTCCTTCGTTGTTTTCTCACCTCACGTATGTATTTAAACTCTCACCTGTGCAGGCCTTTCTGGAAAGCTACCTGACGGCCGGCCCGACCCTGCAGTACAGCCGTGATCATTGGCTCTCTCGTCAGTGGACCCTCATCAGTGAAGCCTCGGTCACCAGCAGCCTGAAGGACGGCATGGTCTTCCTGCTCAAGTGCGTGGACTTCAGTCTGGTGGTGACGTCCAGGAAGATCCCGTACATCCAACTGTCTGAGGAATACATCGACCCCAAATCACACAAGTTTGTCCTGCGGTTACAGTCTGAAACCTCAGTCTAGGACTTCTTACTCTTCAGTTTTTTCTTGTTGCTCTCAAATGATTTTATTTTAGGTTTGCAGTTTTTATTTTTTAAATTTTTTTTGGATTTTTATATAAATATATTGTATATGAATCTGTATATCTCACCTGTTTGAATATATTGATCCGCCTCTTTTCTAAGGTTTGATTATGGATGGAGAGATTTATCACTGCAGGATGTGTGGAGGCATCAGTCATGAACTTATCTAAAATGTGGTGTGTTTGTGTGTGTGTGCGTGTGTGCGTGGGTGTGGGTATGCCTGTGTGTCATCACCACACGATCCTCTAGCGTTTGAGACGCTGAAGCCAAACAAGACAGGGACTTTTGAGGACTTTTCTTGCCTTTGAATTCACACAACACACAGATGAACCACTAAGAAGAAATGAAAGTGAAAACTTCAACTTTTATATTTGACACATGATGGACATACGTCACTAATGTCTTCCTGACATTGAAGATGATGGCCATCAGTTCTGTTACTTTTACATTTAATGCATTTGAGAAAAAAAAGAAGCTAAACCTCACTCCACTTTTGCATTAAATGCACATTTATGTATGTTTGTAAATTAAGAAGTAAATATTTTAAAAAACAAATTCTGATAATCAATGATGACAATCTTTATTTCTTTATTCATTTTCCAGAACCTTCTGCCTCTCAGGGTGTAGTGAAAAACGTCCTTTTTGTTTTTCAGCCAAAGATTTGGCAGCAGATTTTGGTTTGTTCAGTCGACTCTTTCACTCCTAGAGTTTGGTAAACTGACACAGGAACAGGTGAGGTCATTCTTCCAGATAGGGATTGTTCTTCAGGAGTGTTATTTCCAGGTAAACTCAAATATTTCTTTTTTCTTCTGGAAGTCTTTGGGATGACTGACACATGTTGCATTAAGGATACACAAAATAACTAGAAGTACTCCTAACAGGATCGTCTGGGTTTTTTTATTGACACCTACGTTCACCTCTGTCACGTGTTGACAGAGTCACTCAGGAGGAGAACAGTCAGGTCTGAAGCACCCCAAAATGGCGATAACTAAAGCCAAGCTACAAGGAAAGGCTGCAGATGTTGGAAGGTATTAAAATTAACCTCGTGTTAGTCACAATTAGCTTTAAGTCAGCTTTAATATAAAAGACCCATAAAACAGGAGACCTCGTGGTCCTCTGCAGCTGAGAGGAAAGCTTTGCTTGTCTTTGCTGCCCTCTTGCGGCAGAAGCAATAAATTATCTTTAGTCAATTTTTTCCTCCATGTAATTTTACCGATTGTTTTCGCTTCCCTTAATACTCGATTATCAAATTGCGGTTTCAGTGCCAAAAAAAAATATTTTTAAAGTTAATTTTGTCAAATGTTAAGATAAAAGAAAATGATTTTGTCCGGTGATAACAGCATCACTTATCTGTGTTCTGTCTCCATGTAAACCTCTGTCACTGTCCATGAACTGTTCAAAATACTCAGACTTTTGTCCGTTCTTGTATTTCGGTGTAGAGACTTCTCCAGGCCTAATGGGTAAATGAATCTCTGTGTCACAAAACCTGCTGTCAGAATTAATCAGTCCTGGCTTTATGGCCCCACCTCCCTGCTCCTCTTCCTGTTGGATACAGGCAGGAGGATAGAAGATGGAATGAGGAGCATTTGCATGTAAATGGAATGTTTTTCTGTCTCTCATTCCAATCCTTCTTCTTCAGTAATGTGTTGGTTACGTGGGGGCAGAAAAACCACTTCACCATCCTGATTTTCCTGGTTCTAGCCTGGGTGTGAATTTGTCAAAGTCCACAGAGAAAATTAGTGATTTTTTTATTATCCACCGCTTCCTTCATCACTAAGTTTAATTGTGTGACTGTGGTTTTTTAAAACGTTTACTGTCAAGATTCACTGAAATGAATTTGACGTGTGGAACCAGGGGACGACAGTAAAAATGATTTTTATCAGGGATCCTCACTAGAAATGTTAGTCTACGTCAAAAACATGCTAAAGCAGGTGTTCCCATGGTTGATCTTTATTGGCTTCTGTTCTTGTTCAAACACAGTTTGGTTCATTCTCAGTTCCTTGTATTTTATTGCACATTATAGTTTTAACTTTTGATTTGTTTTTTTAACCAGCCTCAGATCTGACCCCTGTTCAAAATGTTGTTTTTTTAGATATCATCATCATCACCATCATCATCATCACCATCATGATAATCCAGGTCATGACTCTGGTCATCATCTTCCATGACATTGTAACCATAGTTCTCCCACTCGTCTGTGGACTCATCATCATCCTCGGTGTTGACCCTCCCGGACAGGACGTCCTCGATCCAGTCCTCCAGCTCCTCCGCAGTCGGCAGGTCCTCGTCATTGGACATGTCCAACCACACACTGTCAGCCTGGAACATAAAGGACAAAGAGTTCCAGGGTGGAAGATCTAAATTGTACGCTCGAGCTTGGTTTTTACTGTATTTTACAAGATGAAAAATATTTTTAAAGAAGGGCCATTTCAGTGGTAACCTGAGTGTCCACTAATGTCCGCTAATGTCCAAGTCCTGGAATGTTGCCATTCTTCAGGTGTGGTGACTCACCAACAGTGCACTGAAGTGAATTATTTTGTTGATTCAAAGTTATTGTAGAGTAGACAAACCTGTTTGTCCCACGGTAGAACCTGAAACTCACTAACTTTGGTCCATTAGAATTTAAAGTCAGGCTAATGCTGAGTTCTGACCAATCAGAAACTGTTTTGTTCTAGCAGAGTGACAGGTCTGTCTAGATGCCACTGATTTGTTAGAACACAATGGACGATAATGATAATTTTTGTTGTTCTCTGGTCAAACTCTATGGTTCTGTATGTCAGTTCTCCAACTGCTGAAACAATGGTGCTTCTCACATCTGTAACGTTGACCACGCCGATCTGAGGTCTGAAAAGATCCAACTTGAATGTCTTTTCCCAGTAGGTGGTCAACTGCAGGGACAAGAAGAAGCAGGTGAGAGGTGTACGAGGGAAGGTCAGAAATATCTGAAGGTCCTGGGTTCGATTCCCAGAGGAATCACATGCTTGGCGCCTGCTGCTAATAACAGCAAATCTGCTGTTAACACAAGAGTTTCCCAAATGTAGGATCAATAAAGTTAAATTTTTATTTGTTATTTTAATTTATGCTTCATTCCAAAACACATAAAATGGAATTTTGGTAAAGTTGTTGTAAAGAGTCCAAACCAGAGGAAAGTCGTCCGGATCAATCCAGACGATGCTGAGCTCCGGGTTGTTGGTGTTGTCTCTGGCAACATCTTTCAGGATCTCCAAGAACTCATAACCATCTGGAGAGAAGGAACCGGAACAATTAGCTCACTGAATGTTCTGTGCTTAAAAAATGGAATCAGAGAGGAACTCGAGGTGAGACAGAGGAACAAACCTGGATCTTCTTCCTCAGCAAATGCAACGATGTGTATCCCATCCATGTCGTCTTCCTGGAGTTGGAGCAGACAATCAGGTTGAACAGAAGGAGACATCGTTAGAGAGGACAGGTTGAGACAGTTTGGACCTGTTTCATGGAGAGATGGTGGAGATATTGGAGGAGGAATGTAGAAGGCAAGACAGCCGGAAAAGAGGAAGAACTCAGAGAAGAGGTAATGGATGAGGTACTGAGAAGACCCTGAAGAGGAACGATCAGAAAACTAATGGAAGGAGAAGCTGCTGATGGACAAACACAGGTGGAGGAAAAGAAATATGATGAAAAAGATGAAGTAAGTGGACGAACACAAGACTCACCCATGTCTCAAACATGTTCTCTGCTCTGAGCTTCCTCAGTGTGGCCCTGTGGAGGTCAAAGTTTAATTTTTATTGATGAAACTACTTCCACATCAAGAGAGTTAATGAAAGGGACAACCTCCTGTGCTGCTTGACAAAGTCCACAATGTCCACCTCTGACAGAGGTCTACCAGGCAGCACCGCAGGCTCCTCCATGAAGGGCTCGTAGAAGTTCACCTCGTTCATCTTCAGGGACAGATGTTTGGCCACCTGGAACACAGCAGGACGTGGGTCAGGTTTAGACTTGAATTCCTTACATTAGAATAATGACTTTGATGCTTATGTTGATCATGAATATTTTATCTGCAGATTGAACATGTATATAAACTTACAGATTTATCAAATGTAGCAAAGAACTTGATATAGGGCTGAAACATCTCTGAGGCCTCCTGAAAAGATTTAAAGTCTGAGGAGAAACAAAGTTGATTTATGTCAACTCCATCTTCGGAGAAAGCTTGTTTTTTTTTTTTCTTTTAACTTTTTTTTAACTTTAATTTTATAAATTCACTGTAACGCTAACATGAATCTTCCCCCTTGAAGTAGCCAATCAGACGGATGTCCTCCTCCATTCTCTCAAAAGCCCGCACCTCCATGGCATTATTGATCATTTCCACGGGGTCCTCCAGCACCTAGGGGGCAGTAATACACAGCTCAGTACTCAGTAAATCCTGACATCTACAGGTACAAATTGAGGATGCACCAAATTATGGACTTTGCCATTTGGCCATTTGTTTTTCTCTGTTGACTTTAGTACCAGTTTAAGATTTACAGAACCGTTCTTGCACTGTAATTTATTCTTATGAAAAGACAAGTTTGAGTCTTTCTAGAACATGAATGATTTTTTTCACAGTGTAACTGTGCTGCTCCACAGAAGTCAAACCTGTGACATCGGATGTTAAAGTCTTATAATAAATACAGCCGCCCCAGGTTTCACTCACATCCAAAAGGAACTCCACCAACGTGTCGGCTGAAAGTTCCCCGTCAAACTCAATGACGCGGTCATCTTTGAAAACGTACAGGCTGCCCACTTCCTGCAGACCTGCGGTAGGACAGGAGTATGGTGTTAAATATGAACGCTCTCTCGGAGTTCAAAAAATAATATTTTTATAAAAAGAGAAAGAAACAAAGAGGACCTGAGTCTGGAATATATGACTCAACATCTTACCAAGTTTTTTGGCCACTTTTGCCCCTTTATGGGAGTCCACCATCCCAAAACCAATATCCTTGTTCTCAAGGACCTGAGCTGTGAGCTGAGAATGAACACAGACAATCATCAGCCAAGTTCACTCAGGTTTTGTTACCGCAACAACGGACCTGTGAACAGCGGGTCAACAAGGTGACTGACTGGTTTTTGCCAACATTAAGTTGCTTCTGGTCTTGATAGGACTGGTTGACCAAAAAGGCGAAGGAGAAGTGAGACAAGATCCCAGCCATTTCTAGTTCATAGAGTTTTTGGAACAGGTGATAATTAAAAGTTTGACCTAGAAACGATCCCTGGATACACCGAAACCACAGAGGAGTGAGAATAATTAGCCGAGCCCCGAGGCTCTGAGGAAATCCAATGTACGGTGGATAGAAGTGAACTAAACTTTTCACAGACCAAATGCCTCACTCTTAAACATAGTTCACTGGCCCTATGGTGGCGCTAGAGCCTCACCTTAGTTATAACACTTCAGTAAATCATCCAGCCAGGTGAGAATCTTTACATTATACAAGTGATGAATACTTTAAAATCCATTTTACATCACAGTTTTAATCATCTGTTCTGCACTGAGTAAATGAGATAAATGTATTGACATTAAATACATCTTTAAGTTTAGGAATGAATGTTTAAAAAATGGTTTGACACATTTTCTATTGAAATTAACAGCATATTATATTCTGCATTAAATCATGTACAGACTAATGATGTCAACAACAAGTTCAACAGCATTTTACAACTATGACCACAGAACAAACCCAACAGTGATCAGATATATTCATACTGTGTTTTTGGGCGGTTACTCTTGTTTCCTCCTTACCTCCAGCACCAGCTCCGTCATCTGGAACCTCTTCTGGAGACCCTTATTGGCCGACACAGGTTCGTGGTAGAAGAGACACAGAAGCTCGTATCTCTTCAGGGCTTTCTTGAAGTTGCGCTCGTTGATTTCTAGGACCCGGTCTTTACCATCAAAATTAGGGAACTCCAGACCTTCTTCTGCATTACTGAAGAAACCCAGAAGAAGGCAGAGGCCAGACAGGAGAGAAAGACAGATTTGATGCATTATTGTTCAGATGTGTCCATGAAATATACTATTTATGGCTCTGTATCACCCTGACACAGTATTCTCCTCCTCCTGTCTTCTCTTCTTCCTACTGTGATTGAAACACACTGACCAAACCTCAGGAGGATCTATTATCACCTCCTCCTCCTCCTCCTCCTCTTTTTCCTCATGCTGAAGAACATTTAAAGGACGATCATTTATGAGACAGACATATCCCAGAAAAAAACATTTATAAACCAAAAACTAAAAGAAAGTACAAGAGCTTCTTGCAAAGTATTATTATTATTATTTGGTGTTTATGGCACGTGATCAGAATATTAAAAACGCTCTTTTTATATTTTTAAAATATGATCATTCAATCTTGTCTACGAACTCAGGAATGAGGACCAACTGTAACCCACTGTTTCTATAGTTTTGCTATGTCCTGTCACGTAAACATTAAAGTCTGCTTTTTTTAAACGTGAATTAAAAAATGAGTGAATTTCATCTCAGTTTAATATTTTGAAAATAGTGGACACGTTGTTTACATTATGAGAACGTTTTAACAGTACGTTTATACGCTTCAATAAGGAATAAGATTTAATGTTTTAAGATCCCAACGCTGTCATGGTACATGAATGCAGCACAAGTTTCCGCCGGTGCCGGAAACAAGGAGTATCTGCACATGCGCAGAAAATTTGGGCTCAACCTAAGAGTAGCGCGAAGCTGGTAACTTTAAGTTTATGTTTTCACTATTTACACTCTTTTAAAAATGTTTTCTTTGTTTTCTTTGTTCGTTGTTGATATACACTGTTGTATATTTGTACTACCACCCTGTACAATGAGTTCTTACTGTGCAAAAATGTATTATTTGGCTTGGACAAAGTTGATGCTAACGACTAGCTTATTATTGACTACTATTAAAATGGTAGAAATTTAGGACCTCCTATTTTTTCAACTAATATTAATTAATAATAAATAATTCAAAACAATACTTTTTTCTAATTTTTTTCAGTGATTGATTTTCAAGCATGCCATAAAAATGTATACAGCTCATGTTTGCAGTGATTTGTCAAAAAAGTCGTTCAAAACAAAGCTCCCATTTTAAAGTACGTTTTAAGAGCAGGACACAGACCTACAATTTGTGTTAATTTTTCATGTGTGTTGTAAAGTTGTGAATTGTTTGTTTTATTTTTAATCTTTTATCTACAGACGAGCTGATGAGGCTAAAAATGCTGCAGTCTGAGTGGTTCTGACGTCATCCTCCACTGTGTATGTGCAGGTATGTTGGGGTTTTTTTTAATTACACGTTTGTCAGCTCCTGAGTGTGTATGGATTAGAAGTAAATCCCACCTGTGTTTCTGTCTCATGAGAAAGTAAAATAGAACCACAACATCAGCGTGAGCCTCTCTCCCTGACCCACAACACTGGCCACTAATTCCCTTCATAAAGTTTTCTTCGACGACTGACGACATGTGGCTGCAGAACATTTTTCTTTGGTTTTGGGCCATTTGTTGCATCCCTGTTACAGGTAGAAACTTTAAAAGATGCACTTTAATAAATTACAACAAAAGCTGTTGCAACATTTTCATGTTTTTAATTGTTATAAAATTGCGGTTATTACATTCAAATCAACAGTGTTTGTTGTTATTGTAGGTTTTGAGTGGAAGAAAATGAAAACTGAAATATCCAAAGCTGTTTCAGGCTACGCTCCATGCAGCCCTGACAACTGTAGCTGCCACCTAAGGTGGGTGTGACCCTTTTCTTTAGTGACCTAGTTGGTGGACAACACTTTTTCCTATGACAGTTAGGTCATCCTTGCTTCCTTGCCTTCGTCTGTGGTGGTTCGCCTCATTTTTACCAGGATTGTTTTCACAGTGTGCTACAGCAGGACTTGAGACCCTTTAAAGGAGGAATCTCGGAGGCCATCATGGCTTCCACCATTAAAAGGGGAGTGGGCACCCATTATCAGATCATTGGTCACAAGTTGTACAGAGAAACCAACTGTATGTTTCCTGCCAGGTAAGGCTTTTCTGTCAGTTTGGTTTTTTTTCTATGGGTTAGCTTGCGTGTTCTAAAGCAGCTCTGTGGTTTCAGGTGCAGTGGTGTTGAGCATTTCATCCTGGAGGTGATCAATAAATTACCTGACATTGAGTTAGTGATTAATGTCAGGGATTATCCCCAGGTTCCTAACTGGAGTCAGCAGATACTGCCTGTCTTCTCCTTCAGTAAGGTCAGACAGAACTCTGATGAAATATTTTCACGTGGCTAATCGTTTGTATTCTTTTTCACTTTTTATTTTCTGATCTAAACAGACCTCAGACTACCATGACATCATGTATCCTGCCTGGACATTCTGGGAGGGCGGACCAGCAGTTTGGCCCATTTATCCCACTGGACTGGGGCGATGGGATCTGATGATGGACGACCTGAAGAAGTAAGACACTGAAAGAGGACAAGTGAAGAAGAAACTTTAGTCCACATCTGAGGATGAGTATAGGTGGACGTTTTCATTGTTTTAACCCACTCCTCCACTGTGTTTAGGTCTGCAGCTGAGTGGCCGTGGAAGAAGAAAGTGTCGAAAGGATTCTTCAGAGGCTCACGGTCCGTTTACTTAAACTTTACTCCAGATAAGTACTCTTGAGCTGACGTGTGCAGAGCTGATACAGTTGTGGTTTCTACCAAATTGTTCAGCTTCCTTTAAGCTCATGCAGGTCAACACAGGCAAAAATTCAATAGTCAGAGAAAAGAAAGAGTAAAAAGAAAAACTATAATTTATGTAGCGTAATGTTTTAAGATTTAACTTTTTATTACATGAATCCTGCCCCAGTCCACTATTTGACACATCGACTGTGGAGCTGTTTTACCCACTACCTTTTGTTTTTGGAGGCAGGACTAGTCCAGAGCGAGACCCTCTGATCCTCCTGTCCAGAGAAGACCCAGAGCTGGTGGACGCAGAATACACTAAGAACCAGGCCTGGAAGTCTGAGCGGGTCAGACAGGAAATGTTTAAATTCAGTGAGATTGTAAAGACAGCAGCTGATCTGTGCTGACTGTCCTGTCCTCCTGTTACAGGACACACTGGGGAAACCTCCTGCCAAGGAAATACCACTGGTCGATCACTGCAAATACAAGTAAGCTCAGCCTCTCCTGCAGCTAGAGCAAGTGCTCTAAGAGTAGACTCCTTATCTTTATATCTTTTACAGATATTTGTTCAACTTCCGGGGCGTGGCTGCCAGTTTCCGTTTCAAGCATCTCTTCCTCTGTGGTTCTCTGGTCTTCCATGTGGGCGACGAGTGGCAGGAGTTTTTTTACCCTCAGCTCAAACCCTGGGTTCACTACGTCCCAGTCAAACAGGACCTCTCAGACGTCAGGTAATTCATTATTCATCTTTTGTTATTGCTTAATTTTAAGGTGCTCAAAACCTCTTTTTTTCCTCAGGGAACTTCTACAGTTTGTCAAAGAGAATGATGACATAGCAAAGGAGATCGCTGCCAGGTACGTGATCATAGTTTAAGGATATTTTTACACAGAGATGCAGTGAATGACATTCACAGCAAGAATAAAATTAAAGGGTTCTTCAGTGCAAACTTTCATTTAACGAGTAATTATGAAGCACTTCACTCAAACTGCACTTCATATGATCCAAATATTCTGACAAATAGAACCTTGGACAGTAGGTCTGCATAATAAAACAAATGCAGATTTTATTTTATTTTTTGTAGTGACTTTAAGAAATAAGAAAAATTCATATTCTTTCTTTTTTCATTGTCATGAAAAAATGTCCAATAATTATACAATTAAAAAAGATTAAGTGCAGTCAGAGAGACATGAAGGGCTTTTAACAAGTGCTGTTTACTGAGTATTAATGACAAGTTAGTTTTTAAGTCCAGTTGGATGATGGTGTTTTCATCACCAACTGTTGCTGAGGTTTTGTTGTTAGGAACAACTTCTTGCTGCCTCCGCCTCAGTTAAACCTCACTGTTACATGTAATCCAAAAATGTTTGGATCATTCAGTGAACTTCCTGTTTCTGCTCCTCTGTACAGGGGCAGAGAGTTCATCCTCACCCACCTACAAATGCAGGATGTTTCCTGTTACTGGCAGAGACTCCTCACTGATTTCAGTGACCTCCTGACCTATAATCCCAAAAGAAACAGCAGCTACAAGGAGATCATCCACAGACCAAGCAAGACAGAGCTGTAGGTGTCTGACTGAGAGGAAGCAGCAGAGTTTGGGTTCTGTAGAGTGTATGTACTGTTTAGATGGTCTGCTCTCACGTTTGTCCACTGAGAACCAGTACTGTCATCTGACACACGGTTATTTTCTCTGTGACCAATGATGAGGTCCTGCTGGATAATGACACCATTCACCTACTACTAGATGTAATACTTGAACTACATTAGTGTGTACCAATCATAATAATATTTTTTTTTCTCCTTTTGCTGCTACTGTACATTACATTCGGTCCGAATGGCTCTTGGAAACGATTTTTTTTTACCATTTTTCATGAGCTACGTTCAAAACTTTATTCTTAGAGAAACCTTAGAGAAACGTTGAAGGGAGCAAATACTTGTGTGAAAATATCACCAAATACATTTTACTTTGTACTTGTACTGTGGGACTGAGTGAGGATTGAAGTATGGACTCCATTCCACGTTGAAAGTCCTTTTGGAGAAAATCTTAAGAAACAGGAAAAACATAAGTTTATTATTGATCATAAAACTACATTTGGAGCACATACAGCAAAAGGTATTCTGACTTTCAGAGTCAAAAATGTACTGCCTTTTGCGAATGAGACTAAATGCGTTGACAGACGCAGCAGTAAAACCAGTCAAAACAGTCTCGTTTATCATTTTATAAAACCAATATCATGTTGTCTTTGTCTCCCTCTACTGGAAATGAAGACGACGTACATTTATTGAAAGTAGTAGGTGCATTTCATTGGTGCTTAGAATGTATTTTATACGGAAACTTAGACTTTCTCTAATTCTGTTATTGGTGCCAACAGTGCAGTGGTTTTAATGCCTTAGTGGAACAGTGTGGATTTATATTAGCTTTTTCTTCTCACTCTTTGAAATAATTAGGTAATTATTTAGTGTTTAGGTATTAGTGGGTATTTGATAAAGAACTGTGATGAATACGTTGTAGTATTTTCTCTGTCCTGAAAATTAAAAAAAAGGCGTGTCACTAGTCGAATAAGGTATTTTTAACCAGTGTATGTGACGGTGATGTTTAAGAAGGAGATCGACGAGATATTGTGGAAAAACAGCGATGAAACAAGCTGATAAAAGTAGTGGAGCGTTTGTTGTGCTTATTATTACTTTATACTTGGAAATGTATAAATTGGGGAAAATGGCTAACTAACTGCTAGTTTACTAAGTTATTAGCCAACTTTATCTACATGCTTTTGTGTGGTGGTTTTGTGACATTAGAGAACGACGTAAGTGTTCTCAGACTGGGGTCGTTGTACATGGTCTCATCTGCTAACCTTAAGAATAAGTCTGGACGACCCTGTGGTCCTGAGTTGACTCTGTCCCCAAAGAACCTTCTAGTGTGTTCAGTGTTCAGTTTTCCCTCTGAACAACAGCTGCTGAGTCTGTGTGCCTCTGCCACTGAAGAAAATCCACCTTCCGGCCATTAGCTTAAATGAAGGCGCTGTGCTCAACATCCAGACCTCTGTCCATGTGTTTGTGTCTGTGCCACAGACTGAATCCAGCTGAAGTGATGTGTCCTGGGCAGCGGGGACAGCAGCCATGTTCAGGCCCCGGGGCCACTCGGAGCACCGGCAGAGGCTCGTCCTCAACGCCAGGCCCCCCCGCCTTCTGCTTCCTGCTCCCCAGGATCCATGCAGCTGAGGTGGCTGCTGCCCAGTCGCCACAGATGCTCTCCTCCTGACTCCTGTGTCTCAGCCACCTCCTGCCCACACTCTCTGCCAAGAGACATAGAAAAGCCAGAATACCAGACCAAGATGGAAACACATCAAGGAGTTTTTAAAGAGGAAGTCTGGGATTCTGTCCGTCGCGTTTTATGAGTCGGTCTATGACCTGTTTGCATCAAGTCCATATTCGAGTTATTGAACCAGGATTCAATAGTTAACAGTAACTAATAAATGCTTTTATTATATGGATCAGAATTATTCTTAGAAGTGAAAAAAAAATAACACCTAAAAAATCAACAATCAAAATCAACAAAAGTAAATTTAAGACTAAAATAACCAAATGTAAGTCAAGGTTAGCCCACAGTTAGCTTTAGCTAAGACCTGGTGTACTAAAGTTAAGTAAGTTTAATTTTCAAACATATTTTTATGGCCATATATATTTCACCATATATTATATATCTATTATATGCAGTATGTGGTCGTTTTCTGTTATTTATGCCTCAGCTGTTCTACCTCAGAATGCAACAACAAATTTTAATGAATAAATAAACCCTAAAAGACCTAGCTAAACGTTAGCCATCGTCTGTTGTTTGAATAGCCCAAGAGTTGATAAACAATGGCTTAATATTGTTGTTATATTGTTGAAGTTGTTACAGTGGACAGCAGTAGAGACGGTCTCCGCTGTGATCATGTGCATGTCATATTTATTTACCCATGCGTCTTCACATTGGTGATTCAGATCAGTGAGTTCACTCTGTCAGCCAGATGTAGCCCTTCCAGCTCCCCTCTGTTCTCCAGCTGATCTCCTCCCTCTAACACACACACACACACACACACACACAACCTTTATCCATGGATCCAGTGAGACTCATGTTCAGCACACACGGTCCTGTTTTGGCCCTGGCTCCACATTTCCACTTGCTCTCCTCTCAGATGGTCCTCTCTCCACCAGTTGAGCCAAACCCAGGTTTCTGTAATGGGGACAGAATGTGAGGTGTTTGGTGGTTTGGCTCCCATCTGCACCCCCCCACCCCACC